GAGAGAGAGAGAGAGAGAGAGAGAGAGAGAGAGAGAGAGAGAGAGAGAGAGAGAGAGAGAGGCGGAAATGGTCTACAGCATCTCTCCAGGTATGAAGAAACGTTTGGCGAGATACTCTTTGATCGAGACGGGGGAGAGCATTGTAGGTTATGTGGTTCTCGCGTTCCTGACTCTTGATCTGGGTGCCTTCGCCTCTTACATGAGCGGGAAGGTCATGGGGACGTGCGTAGCACTTTCGTTCGTGGCGGCTTTTTCGAAAGTTATTGCATTCATGGAGAACTCGTATTTCAACGGCAGGTCGTGCGCGCAGGTCGCCTCTATTACACCCCATAGATTCCAGCTCGGCCGCGTAAGTATTCTGACCGACGACTTTCAGGTCACTTTGACTTTTCATGATGTGCAAGTCGCAGTCCGCCTACTTGCCATGGTTGCACAAGTTGGTCTCGGGATAGTCCTCCGTTTGTCTGTTTCTGACATCGAGGACATGATGAGCAACGACGCGGAGTGGGCAGAGCGCCGTCTCCAAGAGTTGCTCAGGGCCACATATATTTCAGTCTTAATCCATTCTTCCTTGTCCGCTGCGTTACTCTTTTTCGCGGTAGCTGGCTTTCTATTTAATCAATTAGTCACTGTCGCTGCTGCCTGTAGCAACCTCCTTTGCCATGGATGCTTTGTACGAACGGCAACCAGCCGAATACCACCTTATGGTGAGGGCCCTCTAAACCAGCGCCTCAGCAGAATGATTAGCGAGGACATAGTCGCCAGGATGTGGCAGGTACACCACCGCCGTGGATGCCCAAGCGAATAGGGACTCGTGCGGGCTGCAAGGGTATTGGTTCTACAGCATGAAAGAACTGCTTCGGATTGTGAGAGCGGAACTAGCCGACTTGCCAAATGCGGGCTCGGGGTGCACGGACGAAAATGCACAATTACAGGAAGGTCAAGAGAACTTGAAGATGGCCCTCACGTCCCTCCTGGAACTTTCGAGGAAGAGAGATCTGCACCTAAACTGTCTCTTTACTTGCAAATCAGGTGAGATGGCTAGACATATGCAGGATCTGCCCCTGCTGAGCCGTTGCAGCAACGATGTAGATGCAGGCCGAGATTTCGCGCGAGCGGAAGGATACGTGGTCATGCTGCAAGTTCTGGAATGTGCTCCTCCCAACGCAGGAGAGGTTGAGATGGCTGCATCGATCCTTGCGGGCTTCGGCTGGGGTCTCTCTGTCCTGCCTTGGCAAAACGACAGGGACGTCGAGGACAAAGACTTCGTGTTGAAAATGCTGTGCGACGATGATTTTCTCTACTGCACCAGGGAGCTTCTTGATGAACTGTTGAAGCTGCTCCCTTGCCTTCCCCCGAAGACGGGGGCAAGCGGGCCGGCCTGCAGCAGGCAAGACAACCCGTCGCTTCAAGAAGCCGCTATTTCTGCTATCTGTTCTTTTGCACACGCCGCGAGCGACATCCACGCGCAGGCTGAGCACCGTGAACGCTGCGAGAAGGATGCGAGGACTGCCAACCCTCAGTGTGACACGTCTGATTGCACAATTACACTCTGCAATGCTTTCACCACACGGTGTCCGACTGGTTGGCTTCTGGAGAAAGAGATGCCAGACTTTCGACGGGCTGACAATACGTGGGCGAAAGCCGTAACCTCTGTCCTAGACAATCAGCCAGCGGTCGACCTTCTGCTCAGTTGTGCGAGGAACGAGCTCAACGTGTCACGCAGGGTCGTTGGGGACGCTATCAGGACCTTGTCCTCTCTCTGGTCCTGCAAGGCAATACATTGGCACCGTTTCGATAAAAGGATGCCGAAGGATTTCCCTCCTCCGTTGGCTGACGTCAGCACACTGCCCAACCACGACGAGATACGGGAGAAGCTCGCGTCGCTGGTCCTCGAGAGCGCGGCGGACCGATCATCCGTATCCCCTCTTGCGAAGCTGCATCTTGTGCAGATCCTTATCTCTCAGAATATCAGGGACGAGCAGTTGGACGTTGACATCGCTGACGTCCTCCTGGATTGCCTCCGGTACTGGAGGCGAGCAGTGGGTAACCATCTGCTTGAGTACTTCGCTTGCGAGGTCATGGAAACACTGTTTGACCTTTTTGAGACGTCAGAAAACAAAGTGACCATCTTAGGGAGGATAGAGAGATCCCCAGGAGGTGTGGACTGTCTCAAACTCATGACTTCGACTGTTTTGGCTCCCATTCGTGCAGTCCGGCTGGAGCACAATAACTTCGACAGCCTCTTGTCTGACTACTTGCAGAAAGATAAAGTCAACGACTGGTGTGGCGACTGGACAGAGGACTACGTGACTGATTGTGCTGGAACCGCAGCCGGGCTTCTCGCGTTGTTCTTATCTGTACCCGGCGGGCCGGACTTCATCACGCCTGCTAATATTGAGTTCTTGGGGGCTGCTGTAGAGCACGCCACCGGCTGCGAGGGCCAAGCGCCAATTTCGCAACCCTTAGTCGAGACGGTGTTAGGATCACTAAGGCGTGCGCTTGGTTGGCTGTGCATTCCGTTAGGTCATCCGACGTGGCAACCGCTGGGAGATAGGCATGCGGACATCCACGAACCTCCCAGTCTGTGGCTGAAACAATTGGTCATAGATGTGCTTACAGTCGTTCATAGAAGAAACGTCGTCAGACTAATGTGCGAGGTTGTGAGAAGAAATCCGGGGATCCCGCTTCAGAATCTTTCTCCTGTTCTCGCCAAGCTGCGTGAAATGCCCCCCCTCAGGCTATCCACACCGCGAGGACTCCAAGCGTTCGACATGAATTGTGAACGGGAAAGGAAAGCTGAAATTGAAAAGATACCGTAAACATGACTGGGGGTTATGCCACAGGAGAAGCAAGCAGTTGCTGCTCATGCATTGTGCCAAATGATGCCAACACAGCTACATAGATGGAATGATGACTGCTGGAGGATTTAGTCGGAGTCTGCCTTTTTGTGTTTTTCTGTTGTTGCCACAACTTAAGAGGGCGACAGTCCTCAGATATATCGACAGGTGACGGGCCCCAGGTGCTTTAAGATCATTATTGATATTGTTTTAGATTATATGTCATGATTATTTATGGGCAAAGTTGCCCGTTTGAGGGCGAAGGGATGCAAAGACCACCTGGCCAGGCTGGCCTAACTCAGTTGGTACACCCCTGAACGAACTGTTGAAATACAGACCCGAGTTTGAATCCAGACATACGATCAGATGAAGAGAATAAAATAATTCTGCATTAGCTCGGGCCGGTCAGTTTGATGATGATTTCTCAAGGCCGTCCCTGCTACTGACCCTGAAGATCAATGGCAAACAATAGCTCCTGGTGTCCAGCATGTCTTGCTGCGTGTCTGGAGAGGTGTGTGCAACATTGATTTTGTTTGGTCTTTCCGCGCCATGAGGCCCTTTATAGAAAATAAGAAAAGAAAGGATACAAAGATTTTGCCGCGGGGGTATTTAAATAATCTAATAACTATCCAGTTTTTTGTTCTTTCTGTTTTAAATGCAAAACCATAGGTGCAAAAAAAAAAAGAAGGGGATACAATGATTTCGACGCCGGGGTATTTAATAACTTTTCGCTGTCTTATTTTTCTCTTGTAAATGCAAGACCAAAGGGGAAAAAAAAGGAAAGGATACAAAGGTTTTGCGAAGGGGTTATTTAAAACCTTTTCCCTTCTTTGTTTTTCTGTTTTATATGCAAGACTATGGTATAATCTCCCTTTCGTGTGGAACAAATCGTTCTTGGGGTCCTCATCCAAGGTTGCGTGTAATTTTGATGACTATCAGTGAGGTCCTCCTCTCTTCCATCGCGTGAAAAGAGAAAATAAAAAACAGGGAAAAAAAAAAAAAAAAAAGACCCTGAGTTCCGTCACGTTTTCTCCCTGCATCTGGCCGCAGTAATATTTAGATACATTGAAATTGGGACGCAGGGATTCCACTTTAGAGCGCGATTTTCGTGCGTGCCAAAAGGAGGGGTAGAAGAAGAAGAAGAGGACGGGGTCAAGAAGAAAGAGGGGGGAGGGGGGCGGGGTGGGGGAGAGAGGGAAACGGAGGATGGCGAACCGACCTCGACGAAGGGCAGAACGGAAAGGAGGGAGCTCACGCTTGCTTGAAAAGCGTGTGTGTAAAGGAAAACGTTAAGGGTGGGTAATACAAAGTACGGAGGGGTGGTGGAAGAAGATACGGAGAGGAGGAAGTCTCAGCAAGCGGGGCGAGGTATTCCGGTGATGGCTAGCGCTAGCGGAGACACACACGCACGCACACACGCACGCACGCACGCACACATTCACGCACGCACATGCACACGCACATGCACACGCACAGACAAACACAAACACGCACATACAAAGGAGATAAAGCGCCGGAAATGGCATCTAAGTCGTGGTCCATTTTTTTGGACGACGCCTTAGGCCAAACGAGCCTCACGTTCCAAATGTCAACTTTCCTGCAATTCCGGGTTTGGGCCTGCACTCTTTCGGCGCCTGAAACACGTTTTTGGAAATTCAGTTGAGGGTGCATTTTTTCTGCGACCTGCTGTTTTGTCGCAACACCCAAACTGAAACGACACTTTTTTTTTTTTTTTTTTTTTTTTTTTTTTTTTTTTTTTTTTTTTTTTCAACTTTTTTTTTTTTGCCTTTCACTACCTACTCCTAAGGCTNTTCTATTTCTATGTTCTTCTCTCAACTTCTGTTTTTTTGCCTTTCACTACCTACTCCTAAGGCTATCTAGAGGGGACCCCTGCAAGCATAGTTTCCTCTCACTGTGAAGGGGAGATTTCATGTTGCCCCTTGCCCCTAATGGTTAGGGTATAGGGTTGGGGCCGCCAGTGGGGGTTTGGCTAACACAAAGACCGAGACCTGGCAGTAGCTGCGCCTCCCTTTCTCATCGCCCCCCACCCCTCATCGAGTAGCAGCAGTGGCTATGGCCAACACTCACCCACATACTCTCATCATTACTTATCAATTTTTCTTCTTTTTCTATGTTAAGAATTCCATCCACATCTGCCTCTCCTTGCTGGTCGGGTCGGGCCTACATCATTGATTGTACGCTAAATCATTAAGTCTGAACCGTTTAATTGACTGTACGCTTATTAATCAGTAATAAGTCTGGACCACCTAACTTAGGCCAGAATTGTGGCTGGTGACAGAGCGACCCCTTTACGCCAATGGCTTGCTCGGATGGCTCGTTTATTAATCAACCCCTTTCGGGTCACTCGTTAAAGACTTCACCCCAAGTCATTGTGCACAGAATCTGATCTGCGCTTGACCACTTTCGACTCGCAATGGGGGGTCAACGGCGGATTCAGGGTCTGGGAACCTGGTTCCTGCATTAGTGCATTATTGCCATTATTAAGAAAGAAGATTCTCTCCGGTCCTGTGCAACCTTTTCCTCTCTAGGCCGACAACCCAGCCACCCATCCGCAAGAGGCAACACAGAGGGCCCAGACCATCGACACTTGCCATTCGCCCGAGAGCAGCTGCCAGCCGGCAGACGAATGCGCCCTTGAAACCGTCGAGAGTAGACGAGGACGGAATGTCAGGGCATACTATCAGTAGGGCTTTCTGACCACGCTCTGGACGTGATTGACGTCAGATTCATCCTATTACCAAAGTACGTGCTAGATAGTAGATAGGGATCAGGTGAAAGAGAGAAAGGTATTACTTGATACCCGGCTCGGAGAATTAAGGTTTCTTTCCGGGAAGTGAGCACTTCAAATTCTGTCAGCAGGCTGCAGAAGGTTTAACCAGCAATCAACAGGCAGTTCGTTCTCAGTCATCGGGCAACACAGATTCAATCAGTGAAAGGGGTTTACCTCGATCTGTAGCCAAAGAGAACTGACATCCCAGTCTGACATCAGGAGTCTGCGTCTGAAATCAGAAGAAGAAATCTCTGTTTGAAATCAGAAGAAGAAATCTCCGTTTGAAATCAAGATAAATCTTGGTCTAAAATGAAGAGCTCTTTCTGTCAGAAGTTTCACAAGCTCAGTACGAGATAACTGTTACAGGGAAATCGTTTTCCATCCCAAAGCAGTTTTTTCACTGGGCCACAGGTGGCCATTGATTCGGAGGGCACAGGTGGCCACCGATTTGGGCTTGAGAGACTTTGGTTTGTGGGGGTCAAGTTTCCCCCTGCGGCGTGTGTCATACATGTCGTGGGGCAGGGGCCGCAGGGCACAGCCAGCCCTGCCGGGCCGCGAGGCTCACAGCCAGCATAAAAGGAAGTGAGGCAGCCTCACTTTGCACCTTCTGGCTGGCTCAATCGACAGCCCTGCTGGAGTGCCAGCTGGAGCGGATGACTGCCAGACCAGAGGGAAGAAGGGCGCTGGCGGAGCGCAAGGAAGCTGCTGGGAGCAGTGAGGCAAGGAGGCGCAGGCTGCGCAGCAGCCATAGCTGGGCTGCTAGTGGCCGTAGTCGGAGAAGGAGGGCGGAGGTCCTTGGGCAAAGGGGGCTGTGGAGGAAGTCAGGGAGAGGGAGCCATGTGATGAGGCACTCGTCAAGCGGGCCGTGCGTACGGAGCTTTCAAGCGCTCATGGGGCTGATGATCGTCATAGCACAACTGTTGTAGATAGGACTCCAGGTCATAGGAGCTGTCTGTCTGTAGTCTGGGTGCCAAGCGCCAATGAAGAAGAGCTACATTGTTGACATTGTTGATCTGAGGCGAGGAGAGGGCTTTCATTATCATGTGACTTCAATGCTTTGCTCGCGGTTGCAATCTGGTTTCAGCCCACTGAGCCCAGGTTCAAAGTAATCTGGATTCTCTATAGAATGCTGGAATTTGGTTTATTGTCATTCGCAGTGCTCATTTCCTTGCTCTTCTTTTTCTTTTCTTTTTTTCCTTTTTATAATTTCGTAAAGAACTTCGATGTGACCCTGACTCCCTGGGGAAAAGGTTGTTCAATTTATTTTTGTTCATAGCATAAGTTTTTTGGGATTTGTTTGGATCATTTTGTTTTCCTTTCCTTTCTTTTTGGTGGGGACCTTTCCTGGCGCTTGCCCGGGCCGCCCGGACGACCGAACTGGCCTGGCCGGCCCTGTTGTAGCCCAGCTTGTGTGATCTGATAATGATTCTGATTGCTTACTTATGTTGAGTGACTGATAACGGCTGTCAGCTGTTACTTGGTGCTGTGGCCATGTTAGGTGTTCCAGGTTTAACAGCAGCATGCTTGATCCTGACTCCTGACCTATAAACAGTGGCGCTAGGCCTCAGATTACTGATTCCATTAAGTCTCTTTGATTGGTGACGCCTGGCCAAGCTACCCTCGGGATTTTTTTGAAGAGAAGAGGTTGCCCTGTCAAATTTACATCTTCCTTGTCGTCCTGGGCCCTGGCGTCGTTTCCTCATCTCCTTTGTACGCAGCAGACCCCTGAAGAGTTCCGGTGGGTGCTGGCGACGGGACGAAACATGTAGGGTTGACCGCCAGTTAGCTCGCACGGAAGCTGACAACACGGGCGAGTGAGGCCCATTTTCAGTTCGAGGAGATAGACTGTTCTTCATGAAATTTTTGTTCTCTATCCCACCGCGTCCGGGAGCTTTGGAGATTCGACATGTCGACTTGGTTTTTCATCTAGTGTGCATGCTGACAGTGTACGTGTGAGTTGTCATTCTGCACGTGACTATGGTCCTTTGGTGAGTTATCTATGTACTGCTTGGACTTTCTCATTTGATTTATGGATGGCTAAGGTGTGATGCACTATTTCTGTCGGATGTAAGTGAATTATTCACAAGCACCAACACGTGTGTGAGATTGCTGGTGGTGACAGTGATCAAGGTTTCAGTTCCCTTTTCTTCTTTGCTTTTCGCTCCTCTGAATTATTTTTTTACCTTATTTTTGGCTAGTATAGACGTGTGGGGTCCTACGTTAGTGGACGGGATCTTCTTCCTTTTTTGGAGTGA